GATAAGACTTTGCTGGGAAGTCCTCAGAATCAATCTTTGGAATCCATAAAGGCGAGCGAAGAAGACGCTGCCAAACGCCGAGCCAAGAAATACAACAGTGAAAAATGCTTTCAAAATATTATTCACAGATGAAAAGTGAGTGTTTCTGGTTGTATCTGAAATTGAGGTGTCAAACTCATTTCAGAAGCAGTTGTAAAAGCTGAGCATCAGGGCGAAGAAAAACTCTACTCCAAAGAAAATGTTGATAAGAGATTCATGTACAGTATAATTCTTTTTCTTTTCTTTCCACGCACTTTCAATTTGTACAATCAAACACAGAGACTTACAGTGGCTTTCCAAGAATCACAAGTCAAGATTTCGTTGAAAATGTGTGTATTATGTGTTATGTACATTTATTACACGGCTCCTCACAGCAGCAGTAGAACGCTCCATTGATTTTAATGTAATTTCAAAACGTTCTACCAGTCATTTTTTCTTTACAACCCACCTCTCAAAACAATAATGATCGCTGCCCTTTGGCAACGCACTCTCTGCTTGAAATTCAGATGTGTAGATTACTCCGTAAGTAGTCCCGGCCACTTCGCCGCTAGCCACGCTCAATGGACGCAAATACCAATCAATCAACACATTTAAATGTTAATCAGAGAATACATTATACAAATAAATTCTTAATATACATGCACAGAGGTTTTCAGAAGTATCTGTTAAGGTTTTCATGACAAAAATACTGTTTTAATGCGAGAAAAAGTGGTGGCGAAAATCCCATAAGTAGATTCCGGGACATTTTAGGAACATTTGCAGAGGATCGGATTATGGATTTAGGTTAAGTTTATGTTTGGGTCGCTCACCGCTGATGTTCAGAATTCTTTGTTCAGTTTTCATGCAGTTCGAGAGAGTTCTAGTTTGGAAGTTGCTAGCCTAACTGTTGCTAGCATAGCCACGGAAAAGCCTTTGGGAGCTATTTTATTTTCTGTCATTAAATAAACCTTTCGGAGTTCCTAAGAGTGGACTGAAGTTTATTTTGTGTGTTCTGTTGGTACAAAGCCGTATAATAAGCGGGATAATGTATATTACGCAACAGACCCGTCCACTGCGCGTCGGGGTCCGCTTCGCCCTGTTGTACTTATTTTCCGATAATGACCTGCGTAATATACATTATCCCTTACATAAATGTATCTGACATTTCAGAATCAATTATTTTACTTTATTATTATTTTTATTTGTGGATTGTATTAACATTTATGGACATTGATCACCCGCCTCTTATAAACCAATGTGTTTTTAATATCATTACGTTTCTTGAAATTGAACTGTTATATTCTCTGATTTGTGTTGGCGAATTCGACGGTTTTGTCAAGTCCTCCCAGATAACTATTGTTGTGATTTAGGGCCATAAAAATACATGTAATTAAACAGAATATACACAATCTATGCAATTCCATTCCATGTACAGTATGTGGAAAAACGCTCAGATTTTGCTTCCATGATTATGAGGATCTGTCACCATGACTCATACAGTGTAGAAAGATAGATTCTTTTTTCAGAAACTTATCACAAAGAACAACAAAAAAGATCATTACTTTTATACTGACCACAACAAAGCAAGATTATCCCCGTGGAGAACTTATTTTGTATTTGTCCAGTTTATTAAAATAACACAGCAGTACTAAGCAGTAACACAGCAGTACTAAGTCAAAGTAAAGTAAAAATTACTTATTGAATTCTCTACGGCTAAAGCTTCAAAGCTACGAAAGGAATAGCAACAATCTCTTGACTGTGGCAGAGAAAATGGACACATGATAGAAATTGAACCCCAAAATATATTATTGCATTTATCAATCATTGAGTATGAAGTAATTAGTTCATAGTCATCCACTTTATTACTCCATATCAGGGTCATGGGGCTCATTCTCTCACTGATCTGAATGTGGGTCTCCCCGAGGTTTCTCACTTTTTTCCCACTGGGTTTTTGTGAGTTTTTCCTTGCCGATGCAGGAGGGTCTGTTGGGCAGTTAGTGTCCAACTAGAAGGACTGTGGTGATCATCCAGGACACTTTAACATTCTTCAACATGTGTGGACATTTATCAACATTCATGGACTCTATGGACCAATTCATATGTGTATATTTAGTGTTATAACTGTTGATTCTCTGATCTGTGTTGGTGATTTCAATGGTTTTGTGCCATTGAAATGACTCTGAGATGACTTCTGTCGTGATTTAGGGCTATACAAGAATAAGCTGTTGTTGTTGTTGATCCTCCTGCAGATAGTGGGTCAGTGATGACAGGGCCTTGGTTTTTCAAGATGGAAGACTTCAGACAGAGTGGGTTTAAGCGTCCTGCCCGGAGACACAACGACAGCAGACATCAGTGGGAGCAGGCGACGTGATTGAACCCACGGCCGTCAGATCCGAAGAGCAAAACTCTACCAACCGGGATGGGGTACTGGGTTTCCACCTCCAGGATCTTTCTGTGTGGAGTTTGCATGTTCTTCCTGTGTCTTTGTAGGTTTCCTTTGGGTGCTAAGGTGCTAAGGTTTCCCCTACCACTTTTTGTTTTTACTATAGGTCTGGCATGCGCCTCCTGTATGGTGACCCCGCTCCAATCTCTCTGTGGAGTGAGAGACAAATGCCCACAACAATTGTACAGGCGCTATAGTAAATACAGATTATCTACTTACTTAGAAAATATTGTGATGGCCTTATTTATTTATTTTTGCTTGAAGATAGAGGAGGGTCTACGGACACTGGTGATGATCCAGGACATTTAACGATATTTATCAACATTTATGGACATTGACCATCCGCGCATGATGGACCAATGGCTCTATGGTCCATTTTTCTTGTAATCATTCTCTGATTTTTTTTTTTTTCATCCTTCTCTGATCTGTGCTGGCAAATCAACAACATCGTAAAGTCTCCCGAGATAGCTGCTGTTAATCTTAAATAAATATAGAAATAATTTAACATGAAAACCTTGCAATCAATGAGTAAAGACCAAATGTATGGCTATACAAAAATACATTGAATTGAATTAAACTTACCTCAACAGATCTGGTCAGACGCTTTTTTTTTACCACAATAATATACAGAACGTCACTGACTTCTGTCTCAGACTATATAATATACCAGGATCTCAACACGCTACTATTCCGGTTTGAGCAGATCCAAGTCGAAACAGTTTTGTACAACATTATTATTTGGTTTATAACTTGGATTTGGCTTATCTTGGCTCTGGACCAGATGTTTCCTGTGTCCATCTGTGCTGTGTCTGACATGGGCTGTAGCTCCAGGTGCCGTGAAGGCCGACCAACTTAAGCGCCGAGGTCCTCTGACGCAGCATGGAGCTCTCCGAAAGCTGCCTGCTGGATTTATTGCACACGCATACATACATTCAATCCATCCTGCTACCACCAACCCCTCCCCTTTCGCCTCAGGACCCCTCAGAACATGTCTCTATTTCACAGGACCAGTGTGTGTTTTCGTTGCAAACCCAGGCCTCTTCCTCTCCAGCAGTGACCTCGGCGACTCTCCACTGCTTCCCATCCCGTTCCTTTTTGTTTGTTTTTGTTTTGTGTGGATGTACGCTGCTTAGTGCAGATGTCTCAGCTTACAGGCCCTGGGTTGTGGTAATAGTCATCTGGGAAGGTGTTGGATTCAAGTTTGCACGGATTAGGAGGCACTTTGATAAAGACTACAGAGACCGTGGGCGCGAATTAAAAGCTTGGAGTTGGATAAGAATAGTACATAAGTTGATGAGGGTTCAAGCTCTTAATATTCAACTTTGATTTTGTTTCTTAGTAGTTATTCACTTTATGTCTACTTGTACATGTATATGACATATCAAAGCTGAAGTTCATAACCTTTTTGTTTCATAAATTTAACTTTTTGTCTGCGCCTCAAAGAAAGCGTTGTGAAGAAATCAAGCCTTTAAGTCAATATTTGCATACTCAGAATATAAAAAAACTCATTTGATGGCGCTTCGGGCTGAGTGAGAATGATCAACTATTTGTCACTTTTTTGTCTTAAAAATCATATTTTAAGGTGTGAAAGAGGCCAAAAATACATTAATGTGAAAACTGGTGATAGAACCAAGGAGTTAGATTGAGTACATTAAATGGGCTTACTTTATTTTCAGTCAGACCCCCCGCTTTTCCAAAAAGAGAGAAAAAAATGGACTGAAAATCCTCTAGTATCATATGATTGTAATTGAGCTTGAGACTCGGGTTAAAGTACTTGAGGCTATACAATTTTTATCTTATTGCAGCCCTTTTGGTGCTACAATAGTTTGTGCTTCGTCGTCTGAAAAGCCCCAAGCCAAGGCACATTCTACTGCCTCACATTATATATTACACATGAAAGCAATTCTCTACCTATTACATAAAACAGCCTGACTCGATGCCTATAACTGCACTCGTAAAACTTTTATCAGGTTGACTTTGATTATTGTCGTTGCCTTCAGGTGAGAAATCTTGAGTTTGCAGATTGAGTGTTTGCAGCCTCTCTCCCCACTCTACAATGCTGTTTTGTGTGCGCTGGTGAATGGCGCTGTCCCAAATATGTCCCTGGAATTGGTATTATGAAAACCATATGACAGGCCCTGCTTTCTCAAGACAGAATGCACAGTCCGCTCCACCTCCCCCCGGTCCTGGCACTTTATCTACAGCCCCCTTCTCCAAATGCATACACTTTTCTTCGCATCCTTCACTCCTCTGATCGCAGCCCGCCCACCCTCTATTTGGCAACCCCCCTCCGTTCTCCTCTTTCTCCTCCCTGCTTGCCCTGGGACGATCTGCCCGCACTCAACTTCAGCACAGAGCTATTTTGAAGAGCTAGAGTCAGGAGCAAAGACAGGCGCACAAAAAGTGTTCCAATGAAGAGGGAAAAGTTTAGATAGGAACCAAAGCAGGCCAAGATAAGAGGCCTTGACTTGCAAGGGAGCTATCTGGCGTGGAGAAAAGTGCAAAGGACCGGCGCGATAGCATCTGCCTTCTGAAGAGAATGGGCCCCCCGGTGAGCAGCGCTGGATTCTCTTTTATCGTGTGTGTTTGGAGCTTTCTCTTTGGGCTTTCATCAGTCTTCTGCCAGGATATGAGAGAACGGGATGCTCTGTGCAATGCCAAGGGCTGTTATGTGGTCTATTTCCAGCGCAAAACTTTTCTAGACTCATGGAGGGATTGCAAAGATAAGGGGGGAAACCTGGCCACGATCAAACGTGTGGACGAAGCCAGCGCTATTTCATCTTTGCTCTCCAACGTGGACCTGAGATACTCCAGAACTAAAGTGCAGGTGTGGATAGGCCTCCAGCGCCAGCCAAGACAATGCACCAATGCGCGGCCGCTTCGAGGTTATTCCTGGACCACAGGGGATCAAGATACGGAGTACACAAACTGGCTCAAGGAGGATTCTCCCAATATGTGCTCTGTGTCACGTTGTGTTGCCATGGGATACAGCACAACTGAAACCGCTAATAACTTCAAGTGGATAGATGGCTCTTGCTCAGTTCCAGTTGAAGCTTATCTGTGTTATTTCAGATACCAGCAGATGTGTGACTCATTGCCAAGTGAAGGGGCAGGCAATGTGCTCTACAATACCCCGTTCAACCTTCAAAGTACTGTCTTGACCCATGTCCCCTTCGGGTCGGTGGCCACAGTGCCTTGTCCTGGGGGTAGGGAGGATGAGACCGTTCTGTGCATGCTCCAAGATGACGGTTTGGCAGGTTGGTCCATAAACTCTCCCGTTTGCGTCTCTCTTCAATACAACTGGTGCGACGACGGCAATGGCGGCTGCGAGCATTTTTGCAAGCAGACGGGCGAGCAGTTTTTTTGCGAATGCGCCAACGGTTATCAACTGGGACAAGACGGACAAAGCTGTGAGATAGTAGACGCCTGTGAAGAAGCGCCATGCGAATTCGAGTGCCTACCTCTCTTCGACGGCTACCGCTGCACCTGTCCCGAGGGCTACATGCTGGCACCGGACGAGCGAGGTTGTTTGGATGTGGACGAGTGCCTGCAGAGCCCCTGTGAACAGCTGTGCGTCAACGCCCCCGGGACTTTCCAATGCACGTGTCGCAACGGATTCCAACCCGGCGAGGACAGCGAGTGCGACGACCTGGACGAATGCGCTAGCAACCCCTGTGAGCACGCTTGTCAGAACACCCCAGGCTCTCATGTCTGCCACTGTCATCTGGGATACTCCCCGCTACCTGAGGACCCCAGCCGCTGCCAGGACACTGACGAATGCCAGATAGTCGGGACGTGCGAACAGATGTGTGTTAATTATGAAGGCGGATTTGAATGCTATTGTGAGGTGGGGTACGAACTTATGGCGGATTTGTATTCCTGTCAAAAGATTGGAGAAAGACAGGACCAGTATATTGCTACCCCTGCTTTCCCCTGGGTGACACGCCAACCCCCTCCAACTGTGGACTATGACCCAGCGGACTACGACTGGACATTGCAGCAGACTCACCCAAACTGGCCTGTTGATACGGAACAGTCTTTAAATTGGCTCACAGATGCACCCAAACTTGAGGACGCCGATATCATTTGGGTCACTAGGTCACCAGAGGAGGGTACTTTTGAGTCAGAGGAACCCACTGATCACTCAGACCCGGATTTATCGGTGCAATGGGGAGATTTACACTTTGAAACCGCCACAATACCCCCGCCAACCCCTGTCCCAAACACCACACCAGACTGGTACGACGATGAGGAGGAGGAGGAGGAGACAACCACTGCTTCTCCGACACTGCTGCCCACCTCCACGGTCCTGGAAGGGGCCTGGAACTGGAGGGTTCCCATGATCACAGCTAGAAACAAACCAGTGGATCCCTTCATAGACTATAAAGCACCTTCCGACTACAGCTTTGCAGCACCCCCTGACCCCGAAGAGGCGGACTCGGACTCCGTCACCTCTCATCCCCCGGGGGCAGAGGAGGAGGAGGAGGAAATTGCAAAGGACTACGAGGATAACACAGCATCCTATAAACCGTTTTTTCCCACGCAGTCCATCCCTCCCCTGGATTCCTCAGGCGTTAGCAATGGAGGGGTAGACTTGGATTCTGTTCAAAAGGACAAGGGTAGGGAGCAGGACCAGAGCAGCACTTGGCTCTTGGTCGGTCTCCTTGTTCCCATTTGTATATTTGTCATAGTGATGGTGGCGCTCGGCATCGTCTACTGTACCCGCTGTACGTCACAGTCTAGGAGTAACAAGAACGCCACTACTACCGACTGCTATCACTGGATCTCAGGGGCACATGATAAACAAGGCTCGGCTACTACCCCTGCCCTCGGGGTCAAGACGCATGTTTAAGTGAACGTAAACAGACACTTTAGAGAGAGGTGCGTAATGAGCCTGCTATGGGTCCGTCTGCTCATGATGTGACAGTGATGGGCACTAAGGACCAACGACCTCTGGTTCGCGATGTGGAATAAACAGACTGCTTTGAAACTCTATACACTGATCCGCAAAGCTAATTACGTCAACATTGCACTGGGACATCTATAATCTTCATTAACTTGTGTGAAGCAAGAACCAAATACGTGTTTAAGAGTGCCTTGTAAACTGTGCCTTCAGAATCTCGCTCACTAAGTACAACACTGTGTATATTGTGACTGTTAAAAGGGATTTCACGACAGCTCATTCATTCTGTTCTGACATGTAGTCTTGTAGTTTTTCATGCATTCTTCTGACGGCAATTATGAACAAAAATCACTGCAAATGTGTTCCAAAATTGGGTGACTTTAACCCCTTAAGTTCAATGGTTATTCCAACAAAACTATGACTTTTTGGTTTAATGTATTGACTAATGTATAAACCCAAGAACCCCAAAAATATGGCGCTGCGAAAAGTGATGAAAAATATGTTTTAAAATGCTCAAATTTGCCAACATTTATTTTAATTTGAGCATATTGTGACTGCCTTGAAACAAGACTTGCCAATGGGGCAAAGCGAGAGATGGCCCCCTTGAAATGGGAAAATAAAGTAAAAGTTCTTGTCCCATTGGTAAATCTTGTTTTAAGACAGTCAGAATGTGCTCAAATTAAGATAAAAACCACTCGATTCAAGCAATTATTACCTCATATTGTATCTTTTTTATTTACAGTGTACATTCCCAAACTTTCTCATCGAAGGCTGCTTTCCAAAACATTTTTCTCTGTTACCCAACTCCATTAACAAAGAAATAGCACAGATGTTTTTTATGCCTGGGTTCTACGGGGTTAAAGCAGTTCCAAAGACCAACTAATTTATTCTGATCCTTTTTGTAAACATTTTCACGACCTCCAACGGTGCCAGAAAATCCACTAATGCCCTCAGCGAAGTCCCCGGCAGAGACTTGGTGAAATGACTGTGTGTAAAAAGCAAAAACCTTAGCTGATCTCTGTGTAAAGCTTTTTATATATTTATGTCTCTTTTCTACGAGTCGTGTTTGACATGTCACAAGTTAAAGAACCGAGTGATATAGCGTTGGTTTTATAGACCCACATAAATTGCCTTTCAGGAATGTCCGCCTGCTTTTCATAATATTTTCCTCCGCTGCTTCGACTGCTAAAGGCTGCGCAGATGTTCTCGCTGAGCTATAAGGCCTCAAAACTGACACTGACCTCCTTCATGAGCGATCCATCCATCAGCCGGCCCCATCTAATTTATTAACCCAGCCAGCAGTTTCTTGTCAAATCCAACCACACATGTTTTAGAGCCGTGTTGAATCATAGCCACGTGTGTCGGACTACTTTAGCAGAGCCCGGGCCTGGATTAATAAAACGTCAGAGGAAGTGTGAGAGGCATGTTTTCCATGGGTGGTCGTATTAACGTAAAGTGCAAAGGGAAGGCTGCGGAGAGTGCATTTATTCCAAAGAAAAAGGAAAATAAATGAAGGAGTGTACTTGTTTTTCTCTGTGTCTGTTTGTGAAATAAATGAGTGGGTTGTGGGGAAGAAAAGTCTGATATTTTCATTGTTGGTAAAATATTTTTTATGGCGCTTTTCACTCCATACATTACTGTAGCCACAGCTGCCCTGTGACAGAAGCGAGGCAACAAGTATGTGCCATCAGCCCCTCTGACTATCACCAACCATTCACACACACCAAACTCTAAGCATGTGGGTAAAGTGTCTTGCCTAAGGACACAACAACAGTTTGCCACTTCACAGCCGCAGCTGCCCCACTGTGGTACTGTAACTGGTGTTCCCAGAGGTCTCCCATCACAGTACTTATCAGCCCCTGCTCTGCTTAGCTTCAGAGGTCTGATGGGATCTGGCCATTTGCAAATGAATGTTATTTTATTTAAGAAGATGAGACGTACCTTTCTATTCTCTTTAAAGCTGGGATACCTAACTTTTTAAATTCATAAATGATACATTTAGTTTTCCTTTGACAGAAAGACATTTTTGAACAAATCAGACCACAACATGCCAGCTTCATGTCATCAGAAAACATGTTATCATTTACATACTTTGACTTATTTACATATTTAGCCGACGGGGACATTGCACATGTATTATTATTATTATCATTATTATTATCATTATTATATGTATTGCAAAGACCAGATAAAGCTACCAGCTCATTTTCCTCCATAGTCCGTGAAAAGTGTGCAGAAAATGAATAAATAATGGACTAAACATTTAAAACACAGTTAAATGCAACAGGCTTCACCACAAAGAGACACAATAAAACACACGGTTATTTACACTGTTTAATGAGCGCACACCTCGTTATCTTTGAGCCGTGTCTTTAATTCATACTGTCCGAGTGAGCTGCAGACAGACCCCTGCTGAGAGCTGATTTTTCACTTTTCTGTCTGTCTCATAATGATGTACCCGAGGCCAGACATACATGAATGTGAAAGCTATATATTACTGTACAGAGATTGCAGAATTAGAAAGATAGATTTTATAGTTCCATCTGTTGTGGTTTGATGGTTAAGTACCCCAGCTTTAAACACAAAATTAATATGTTTTCATTTTGTTTTTTACTTTCTCATATTCAAGCTGGCACAGCTTTTCACAGCGGCCTCTTTGCGAGCTCTTGAACAAGGCGTTGAGAATGTGATGGACATAGCAGAGCCTGCAGAGGTGTGGAATGCACTGACCAGACCAGGTCCAGGTCAGGTCTGTGAGGGGGCGCTTCTGTCTTTCTCTGGTCCCGCTTTGATGATGTAACAACAGCTGATGCACATTACAGCTTTCTGAGGGTAAGTCACAGCGTTTTCACGGACGGCGGTAAACAAACCCTCATGTGCCAAATGAACCAGGGCTATAAATGAGTCATTACTGCAATTATAACTCTGACTATAACTTTAATATCTAAATGTTGTAATTACAGCCGTTATTCCCATGACTGATTTTTCATTATGGGCTTTTCTATTCTCACAGTGAGTAGTTATCTTTTCTGCTTTTTTACTATAAGCTCAAAGTGGGACACTGGGGTAAACGTGACCACAAAGACCCCAGTGTCCTGCTGCATGTTATGTAAGTAATGATTATTGTTTGATGTTTCTTTTGGTGTATACAGTACAGTATTATAGCAGTCCCTGTGCTCCTCAGAGTCCCAACTGCTGGACTCTGAAAAATATAACAAACTAAGACAGATGTCACTTAGCTCCTATCGAGTCTATAATCATAGATAGTTAGACAGAAAGACAGACAGACAGACAGATAGATATATACTTTATTGATCCCTGTAGGAGAAATTCATGTGTCCAGTAGCAGCAAAAAAAGCCACCCACACAAACAAAACAAATAAATTGATCATTTAAAAAAATGGTAATGATAAAATGCAACAGCACTTCAGGTCACAGCAGCAGAGATTGGTTTGGACCATTTCCTCTGCTCTGGTCCAAAGTAAAATGCTAAATGCTTCATTAGCATTTTTCAAAGCGTTAGCATTCCTCCAGTGGATTTTCACCTGATCCGCTTGGTTCAGACCATGAATCCTCTCAGCTCTGGTCTGGACCAGAGTAAAACCCTGAACACTGTACTGCAGCAATATCTCAGGTAGAAAAAGCAAGAAAAATGACAATTGACACAAAACAACAACTGTTTCAGAGCTGGACTTGCAGCCGTTTCCAGCGCATTCAAGTAAATATACGGGTTTCATATTTTTGAAGTTTAATTACAGAAATTAACCAATACTGTTGCGTTTAATGAGACGCCACATGAAGCCCATATCATATCACTTATTGCTCATTAAAAGCCTCTCCTGTACGTTCTTTAATATTGTGTAACCAGATCAGGACGGAGCTGCCTCTTGTTCTCTCTGGATCGTGTCATTGGATCTCATGCTTCATAAACACATTAGTTTGGGCCCTGCCTTCATTACCGCGTTGTCACTGTCTGAAACCTCTGAGAATAAAAAAACACAACAACAAAACAATGAAAAAAACATCAATTTACGCTTGTCTCTGTTGACATTTTATATAAACTAAATCCTTTATTTTGTCTGGTGTTTGCTGCTAAGTGTCACTTCCTTTGTGTGTTGTGGCCTCGTATGTGCGTCTGGGTCCTGTGACAAGGATTACTAATGTTGTTTACTCCGGCGCTGGTATTGTCTCGCTGTATCTTTTATATATATATATACGTATATATGTCTTTGTTTCAATTTGAAGCGGCGGTAATGAGCAGAACTAAAAACAATTACAGATTATAAAAACAGTCACAAACAATTACAGATTATAAAAACAGTCACAAACAATTACAGATTATAAAAACAGTCACAAACAATTACAGATTATAAAAACAGGTACATACAATTACGGACTATACAAACAGTTACATTTCAAAAAGACATGTCTTTTACCTGATATTAAAGACAAGTATTCACATTGTTTGTACTGAAACAGATTATGTTATTCCTTCAGAAGACTAATAAACTGAAGTGATATTGTGTTTTTGATATGAAAATGACTGTATCCTTCAAACGAGAGAGAGATAAAAGGGATTTGTCCGAGCGTTAGAATGTGTCGGGAGCTCGTTCCAGTTCTATTCTTGACGGGCAGCTGCTCCTCCCTCGCACGTCCCATTGTTGTGGAGATAAGTGACTTTTGCTTGTGCTGCCAGTGTCTCTCTGTAACCGAGGAGACAACTGGGTCATCGGTACAGGGACGAGTGATGTGACGAGTGATGGACGTTCTTTGTCTGAGTTGAAACTTATATAAGCACATTTTTAGTCCCCATATTTTCTAAAACAATAGATTTTGTTATGGTTATGGTTTCATTTTATTTGTATATATATATTTTTTTTCAGGTGCATACGGGACTTGGCTGTTCGACGTAAATACATAAATATACATTTCCTTTTATTTATTGTGTA